TATTTGGCCTAATGATACTTCACTACCTATCAAGTTTTCCTCTAGGTCATCATTTGTTGCAAGCAAGTCATAGAAGTGGTAAAAAAATTTAAGTAAACCAATATAATAGTTATTTCCTCTAATTCCCATCCAAAGACTATAGTTAGGAATGGGGAAGGTTTAAAGCAACATGACTCTTGTGATTTTGACAAATGTCTTCTTTTCCATAAGACTCTCAAAAGTCTTACAAATATATAACTTAATGTTAAGGATATTATGCAGCCCATTTACAAGATTTTAATTTTCTTGGCTGAAGTGGAAACATATATTCTTCTTCCTCCTCCTCCAAGAAAAATTAACAGTGTTATAGTGGGTAGCTCAATGATTATGGCCTTTGTCTTCCATTGATTTTAGGTTGAGTAGTGAGTTGTCCCATCATCCTCTCCATGTTTGTCTTCTAGATACTTCATAATAATGACCCTTTTGAGTAAAGGTAGTTCCTCAAGAATCTTACCCTTCACATTTTCATCGGGGGCGAGAACGCGAGACACTTTTATCATTCCCTCTGACATATCAATATAAATGGTTGAAATGACACTTCTTTTGGACCTAACAACCTTTTCTACATTACCATTAAAATTTATTAAGAAGTTGATGGCAGTGCATGGGAACTTAATTAAAGAGTAAAACTTTATTGTTTTATTGCTATTTAAGACTATCTATTTTAATCTATTTTATTAATTTTATCAATTTATTGATTGTATCATTCCTATTGCTATAATAATTATTAAAGTGAATCTTGAATAGTCATAAGTCATGACATATTCATATATTTCTATTATAAATGATTTAAAGTGTCGAGCTGTTGTCACTTATAGTTCGTATGCTTAAAAGATGATAAAATATGTTTTCCTAATTGATAATAAATACATAATTATATGGTTTAGTTTGGATTACCCTACTACTAACTCATAGTTTGATAAGGTATGTGTTTTAGCATGACATAAGCATCTATGTTATAACAATGGATCATTAAGATACAATTTTAAACATCTAATGTTATCAACATCCGATGTAACAAATTCTAAAAAAATAAATAGTATTAAATCCATGACCAATGAAATAAAAGTATCATTCAATTTAATTAAACAGTTGATATAATAGAATTGAATAATGTACCCATTATTATTAAACTGGCTAAAATTGATTAGAGAGTGTTTTAGTACATTACCTAGTTGTAAGACCTACTCAATAGCGTGAGAGCTAAAGCTAATGGCATCAGGTCTAGTTATTATTATTATTATTATTATTTGTGTGTTGTCTCATAGTGACAAAAATGCATCATTTATTGGTTATAGTAACACTTAAATGGTGAAATCTCTCATATGCCTCAAGCATCCGTTGTTTAAGTATTGTTTACTTTCATTAATCTTATAGTGAAGGCATACTTGTACGATAACTTACGCTTCTAGTTTTGAAACCAAGATTACTTCTAGTCCAAAAATGAATAACAAGATCGACACGTGTAGTACATGTCATATTTATTCGAGCATGTGTTCATTCAAGTATTCAAATATAAAAGAAAGCTCTGTGACACTAGCCTTACACTCTAGCTATATATCCCAACTCACCATACAATATGAACTTAACACTTATTTTCAAATACAATTATGCATGATGTACCTTACTCTTAGATGTATAAGTCCTTGTATGAGCAATATCTATAAAAAAAAGTTATTTTCATGTTTTATTACAGTGACAATTTTGCTTATTCCTTTTTTAATATACAATATTTTCTTTTAAAATTTATAAGAACCTTATTCATCTTAAACATAAGACCATAAACATCATCCTAAAAACTTTTTATTGTTTATCTTAGTTGTTTGATTGCTAAGTTTTTCATGGACGATCTCTATATAGAGTAAGAGTTTGAATAAATAATTACAACCATTTATTTTTATTTTTAAAATAAATGGTCATGATTAATTGTATTAAAATGTTTCATCACACAGAGTTAATCATTGTTTTAATCAATGATGCTTGATCTTTGAATAGATGGTTGGGAATGATCTCAGCTCGCATCTAGGTCCTCCGCGGATTAACAAGACTTATCATGGCACATACCAGACACATATAATTTTCATGTTAATATCTAGCTATTTAAATAGTAAATTTGATTAAGGTTTCTTAAGAACATTGTTTTGAAGTTCAAAAAACTATATTTGAATAAATATAAATACAATAAAACATGAATAAATGCCATATAGAATTTAAAAAAAAAAATTAAAGAAAAATAAATTAAAACCAATGTTTTAATGAAATAATTTAATTATATAATTAAATTATTCATTGTGTTTGGTATGGACGCAGTTGCGGATGAAGTGACATGGGTTGGCTTAACTCTACAACTATGCTTAAGTGTCCACCACACTGAGGATTCCTGCACAACTTGCATCAATTCCTTTACATGTGAAAAGGCCTTTACAAACAGACTGCCACTCTGAGATAATATCCGACACACCCTCGCTGCTACTGAGATACCCTCTTGATTTTCCTTCTTTGCAGCGAGGGTATCTCCTCCATTCTTTTCACCATCACACTAAGATAACCATACAACAAACACAACATAAGAAAAAAAAAACAATGGAAGAGCAAGTTCTTACATATGTAGTAAAGAAATCATGGACTCAACATATTTTTCAAACCATCAAATGAATCTTCTTTGTATAAGCAAACATTTCTTGATCCGTCTCTTTCTCCTTTTCAAATATCTCTTTTAAAAAAGATTATTTTTAATGAAAAAAATTGGTGGTTGTTCGAATTATGAAAGCTCATGGATTTTCTTTTTTATGTACTATTGTGAGCTCAAAATCATAAGAGGTTTGTAATGTCTTAACCCAATACATTAAACCACTTAAAGAAAATCATTTCATATTTTTTTTGCCAATTAATCCCTCCAAAATCCAATATTTAACTACTTAATTCGATTTTAAATTGATATTTACAGTCATTAGGTTTTTTTCTTAAAATTAATACTTATGAAAATCTGCAAGGATTTACAGAGCCTTCAAAAGCTTTGTTGAGTCTCACAAAATATTATAAAGGCCCGTTATAATTATTTTTACCTTCCAAATTCCTTAGAATTATAGGGAGAGTTGTGAATATGTATGGATACTCACATGAAATTGTTGGAGGCCCATTAACTCATTTTTATAATATATTTTAAGAAAATTAAGACATCTCTTAATTGCTTTTTTGTAGAAAAGGAATTGTGTTATAATGGGTGATATAGTAAGATTTTTTAGAGTAATTTAGCCAAATGTTAAAAAAGTTTTATTGGGCTTATTGATCTTCCTTCATTTGAGGGCACATCTTCATACTAACAACTACTAAATATTTCTTTTAAATTAGGTAGAAGAAAGTCCATGCATTATGGTTTCTTAGAGTTATAGATCTTATTGCATGATACTACATTTAAAAGTACAAAAAAATGATACGTTTGTTTATTGTCATAATATTTACTCGTGATACTTCATTTATTGTCCTGAAGCCAATGGTTTAGCTGAAGCCCTTAACTAAATCTTAGTTTAGTTGAATAAGAAAATTTTAAATGAAAAAAAAAGAAGAATCTTGTCATGACAAGATAGAAGCTTTATATGCCTACCATATCACATATAAGGCTTTAATTCAGCCCACTACTTATGCATTAGCTTTTGGGTTTGAAGTCGTGCTTTCCTTAGAAGTAGATATTTTTTCATTATAGATTGCCCTTAATAGTGAAATTATCAATAAAAAGAATGCACAACACAAGCGGGGAGAATTCGATGGTATGAATAAGAAACACTTACAAGCACATCAAGATATTGACTTGTGTTAAGCTCATATGGTGGAGGAACATGATATATTGGTTTGATCCAAGACATTGAAAGCTAGAGATTTTTGCAATGGCAAATCATAACTCTACAAAAATGATAGAAATTTGAGCACATTTGGTCATGCCTTTTTATAGCAGAGAGAGTATACTAGAAAGATTTTTTAAGTTAATAAAGCTCGAAGTTCATCATCAAAATTGTGATAAGTAAAGAAATTCACACAACTATGTATAGTTCCCATGAAATAGGTTCAGCCATGTAAAAATCTTATAACTTGACATTATCAATAAGGGAAATTTACATACCTAGCACCCAAATCTTCCGTAATTATATATCTCACACCTAAACTTTCATATATATATATATAGCACTTTGGTGTTATAAACATTTGTATGAAAATTTATATTTCAATTTTTAAAAGCGGTAATAATTGTGTAAATATAAAAATTTAGACGTACGATATGAAAATACATAAGAATTATGTGCTATATGTAAATGCCCCTATCAATAAACAATTATTGTCATTTTTATTATTGTTATATTTACATTGGAATCATAGAAAAAAGTTTGTATGCTTCACACTTCTTAAATATGGAATTCTAATTGAGTCCCCTTTTGAAGTAAAAAAATATAGACTTTTAGAATGAAAATTAAAGCACGATATGTGTTATTTGGTTTAGTTCTAATAAATGGGTGTAAAAGTTGCCAAAACCATAAAAAAAGGGGATTTGGGGACAATTCATTCATTTTCAGGCTTAATTTCAACAAACTTCTATTCAGATTAGCGAAACTTAATGATTTTTTTACCTTGTAGTGATGTTTACATACGCAGCACTCAAAACATTATTATTCACAAATCTAACACCCTCTTTCGACTATGTTTCAAATTCTCACACAAATACCAAAATTCATGATAAAAACGAACCCATAATTTTCATCTTTATCAAATTGTCCCCAGTTTGATCGAGGCATATCACATGGGTGCTAGATTTCATAAATAACAATATTTCAGGTGCTGTGTATGTTATTTGTATCACAACTTTTGCAAAAGCAGGAAAACTATAGTATAACTGAAGACTGAACCTATTGATATAAACAAGCCAAATATAAACAATTTATTAAAAAAAAAGAACTTACTGATGTGAACAAGACTAACCATCAGAAATTGATCCAAGTAGGGCTATAGAACTGAGAAAAATGTAGTTGTCCAAATAAATAAATACATACATAAAGTATGATCATTTTTTATCCGTGTTAAGAATAGTGAAGAATGCATTGGAACCTCACCATATGCATAATGCATCGACAGCTTTAATATTAATTCTGGATACTGCTCCTCAGCCAGAAATGGAGATGTGACCAATCTGATCTATGTACTGTTACAGCTTGAATAAGACATCAGAAAACTGGATTAAATAATGGAAGGGGGTAAAAAAACTGCCCTTACATGATCCAAAGATAAATGAGAAATATTGCTATTGGGAAATCAGGCCCTCGTTTGTAGGAATGAGAAATATTGCTATTGGGTAAGGAGCTCACATTAGAAGTGAGATTCAAAAAGGGTAAGGCGCGGCAGGGACGTCGATTAAAGACGCGGAATTATAACCGAATGTACTGATTGGGTGATCGAATTTGCATGTCCGACCGAATTTGCAGGTACCATGTTGAGTATAGTAAGCACAGGGCTGAGCCCCCTGCAAGCAATTTTTTGAAGTTGAGTTAATGGATTCATTTCAGTTTGATTATCAGAACAAGCTAAGGAAATTAAAATTTTCCCAATAATGAATTGGAAAACATGATGAGGCAAAGCTTTACTGTAAAAAGTTGCAATCCAGATTTTAAAAAGATTTGTATGTTTTGTAGCATTCATGGCTTAATATTTGCAAATAGAATAAGATATTTGGGTTTTTGAGACTGTTCATAGAAAAAGCTCGTCTTTTGGAGAAATTATTCATGTCCGATCTTGGTGTTCGATCACAATTTTTTTGTTTGTTTGTTTTTTTTTAAATGGGTCCCACCAAAATATAGTTTTGCTGTGATTGACGGTTGAGATCGGACAGCGCATGCATCTCTGCATGCGTTGTCCGTATGGAATAATTTTTCCATCTTCTGACCACAATTAGCAGACATTCAATAACTTCGAAATCATTCAGGAAATGGAAATTAAAAACAAACTTCTCAAGTGTTATGTACTAAATGGAAAAATCAAAATTCGAAAGGGAAAAACACAAAATAAAAATAAATAAATAAATTTCCTTGAATGCGTAATTTTCTACAATAAGTAAGCCGAGTAAATTGCAGCAACAATAAAATCACCATCAGTACCACATTTGCTATTGAATGGTAGATGCTCATCCATTTATGGATTTGGGAGCGAAAGCAAAGAGAATAAAAAAGCTGCTAGAAGAATAATTAAAATACTGACTCATAGGATGTAACGTTTTGTTGCTTTATTACCGTGAGAGGAATTGAAAGTGTCGAATAAAATGGGAGAAAAAAGTGATCAGAGAGTGGAAAGTGATCAGATAGTCGTAGAGGGGAAGAAGAAACAAGGAGACAAAAACCTAGCAGAGAGGGAGAGGAAACTAGCGGATCGAAAGCCAATAGACCAGTTCATCCTATAAATTGAACTAAGAGGCGGGATCTCTCGTTCATGCATTCAGAGAGTGGAAAGGGCATTGTGTGCTTTCTTACCCAAGAAGACGACCTTGTAAACCTCATGCTCGAGGGAAGAGGAACGCAACTTTGTTCTACTATGTCGAGTCGAGTCGAAGAGGAAGATGGAGGAGGAGCTTCCTTTCATGCGTAAGACTTCGATCGTGCCTTAAAAAGTGTGTCGTGCAGAGGAGGAGGCACTAAGTTGAGGAAGCCGAAGCCAGCTCGTATGTTTGCGAGTAGGCGAGCAAGCTTCGGCTTCCACCTTGATCCTGAATCTTGTTGGGTATATGCAATGAACAACTCCGTAGACGTAAGCATATTGTCGCTGTTCACAGTTCACTGCGCCGCCCAATTTTTTCTTCCCTGCCCTAGAACCTCGCTCTGATATCAGTTATTGTGAAAAACAACAACAATAAAACGGAAAATCGGATTGAGAAAAATCGCAAAAATTGAAAACACAGCGGAAACACACAGATTTACGTGGTTCGGCAAATTGCATATATCCACGAAGCTGTAGAGGATTTTATTACTTCGAGGAAATACATCGTCGACCACGTCGCTTTACAAGAACTCTCTCTCTCTCTTTCTCTTCACCTTCTCTCTTTCTTTCTACTCGAGAGCCTCACGGTAGAAGAATAAAGGAGAGCACTCAGCTAAAGAGTATCAAACGAGAGAAGAAAACTTGCATCGTGCAATCAATTTACACCTCAAAATTGATCCTTTCCCGCTCCTTTTAATTCCAGCAGAGAAGAGTTTAATCATCCATATTTGGCCCATTATGGCAAGGCCCAATTAAGGAAGCAGCAATTCACTTATTCCAAAAGGAGCAACGGTGAGAGAATAAGGCAGCCTTCAATTAGCGAAACCAGATGAAGCGGGAGATTAATTTAGAACTTAATTAATTCGCAAGGATTAATTAAGAAAGCAAATAATAGGAAATTAATTCGACAGATAATTTCCTAAGATGCACAATACCGCCCAATTTGCATGTAGTGGACCAGACTCCACTTAACACAACAATTCTCCCACTTGGAGACTGGGACACTAACTGCATCACCTTTCTGCAACATCATCTACTGATTGTACCGATCTTTTCCTCTAATATGATATCCTCTACTTCTGCAACTCAAAACCCCGGTTTTCATGTCAGAAGACCAACTGAAGTTGCACACAACTTCAATTTCTCAAGAGTAACATCCTTAATTGACATATCAGCGTCAACATTGTCTTGTACCTCTAAGCTCTTTCATGGGTTACTCATGAATCTGCTTACAACTCTCACTGCATAGGCAATATCCGGCCTTAGTTGAAGACCTTTTTCATTAAGTCCAGTCTTGTACCACTTACTGTCATCAAGCGCAGAACAGTCTTCATTCGGTACACCCACTTGTCATGCAATTTCTTCTCCCATAGTAGAAATTTTGTCAGCTCCCACTTGCTCAAACTTTCATTTTGCAAGATTACTTCAGAGCTCTATGGTTCTCCACCATTAGACCGTACAAGATCTAGTTTTTTCGCCTTTGATGCTCTGTCACCTTTTAGAAAACGGACTTTCTTCTGATTTCCCATAATGCACCTCTGACTCATGTGCCCACATCTGAGTAAACTTGTAGTCATGTATAGTGTGTTAGTTTTCTTGCCCCGAGCCGATACTAATGCTTCTTTGATAACCTTCCATGTGCTATCTGAGAAAACTACTGAATGACCACCCTCATTGAGCTGCCCAACAGAAATGAGATTTTTCTTCAACTCAGGAACGTGCCTGACTTTTTGCAAAATCTACTTGCTCTTGTTAGGGAGTGTAATATCAACTTCTCCCATCCTCACCACGTCCAGAGATTTTCCATCAGCCAGATGTACCTTCCCAAAGTCGCCTGCAACATAATTTTGCATCATCTCCTAATGGAACGATTTATGGAAGGAAGCCCCTTAATCCATTATCCAGTCATTAACAAAACTGTAAACTATCAATAATAGCACATCCTGTATTTCTTCAGTTATAACATTAGCATCATCATTCTCTTTCTTGAGATTCCTGCAGTTCTTTTTTTATGTGACCAGCCTTGCCACAATTCCACCAGGTTGTCTGCTCCAGACTTTGATTTTGAACAATCAGTGCCAAACTCGAACCCGAGGTCTCGCCAAAATCTTTCCTGCGCATATTCTCAACCAAAATCAAATCACAAATACCATCATATTTCAGTTTAGATTTACCTGCAGAACTGATAATTGTCATTCTTATGACTTCTCAGCTATTTGACAATGAAACCAACAATATCAACGCACATATCTCATTATCAAAATCAAATTTAACATACGACAATTGATTTGTGATATTATTGAACTCATTCAGGTGTTAAGAAACAGACACACCTTTTGCCATCTTCAGGTTGAGTAACTTTTTCATCAGGTGCACATTGTTATTCGTCGATTGCTTTTCATAGCAGTAGTCCTCTCATTGATGACGTTGTGGGCAACGGATTTCGACAGGACAACGAATTTCGACAGGGTTAATCGTATAACCCCCAGAACCTGTCGGTCTAACAGATTCCATTCCGCCTCGTCCATCTTTTCCAGCTTCTTTCCCAGTAACGAGAGATGAAGTTTCTTCCCATAGAGGTAGTCCTCTATCTGCATCATCCAATAAGCAAAATTTGTGTCATTGAACTTCTCGATCCCTGATGTCATCACTTCATCTTCGCCCATCGTTCTCCCTTCAGCCCAAACCAAGGCTCTGATCGAGTAGGCGAGCAAGGCTATTGGGTTGTTCACTAAGTCGCGCGAATCCTTCGTCTTCGCGACTTTCCTTCTCGACGACCACCTCAACAAGCTCATACGCTGCGAGAGACATTTCTTCATTCTAAGAGACTCCAAATTCTGGTATTATGAGTCATACCTAACAAATCTCCACATTGGCGAATATCCAATCCCTTTAAGAGAAATGCATATACCAAAAAATCTCCACCTTGACGAATATCCAAGCACTTAGAAGAAATACATATGCATAACAAATCTCCACCTTGACGAATATCTAGTCCCTTAGGAGAAATACATATGCCTAACAAATCTCCATCTTGACGAATATCCAACACCTTAGGAGAAAATATATTATGGAGTTTCTTATGCACCAATGTGGGTTGGGCCACCACGCTTTCGCTGCGCCATCGCTGATCCCTAAACCCACTAAATTCCAAGAGACAACTCTTCAATTCCAAGAGACATCTCTTCATTCCAAGAGATTCCAAATTCTGGTATTATGAACCATACCTAACAAATCTCCACCCATCATTCTACCTTAGAGCCAAATTCTGGTATTATGAGCCATACCTAACAAATCTAGAAGAACACACAGAGATTTACATGGTTCGACAAAGATTCCTACATCCTCCAATAAGCTCGTACGCTTGGTCGCTTTCCCAGTAACAGAAGATGAAATTTCCTCCCATAGAGGTAGTCCTCTATCTGCATGTTTGAACTTCTCGATCCCCTATGTTATCACTTCATCTCCGCCCATCGTTCTTCATTAGATCCGAAACCACGGCTCTGATACCAACGGTTGAGAAATTAGGGTAAAAAAATATAAGAATTGACACAAATCCAGAAGAACACAGAGATTTACGAGGTTCGACAAATATGCCTACATCCTCGGAAGCAGAACGATAATTTTCTTTTCAATATTCAGAAAAGAGTACAAAATACAAGATTCGGAATCTCGGGATCTCAGAGACTCACAAAGGGTTACAAACATGACATATATATAACTCTATAGTACAATATGTAATTACTTAAATTATTCTTGTACCAATCCGTGAGGTGTTGCTCCCACACCCCCAACCCACATAATGAAACTCCTTCGATTGGACAGATCCTTCCGCTCCACTTCGCTCGTGGGCTCCGCTCCGCTTCAACATCTGTCCCATTTATGGTATATGAGTCATATCTAACAAATCTCCACCTTGGCGAATATCCAACCCCTTAGGAGAAATAAATATGCCTAACAAATCTCCACCTTGGCGAATATCCAACCCCTTAGGAG